AATAGACTTTTCGCCGTATGAGTATACGTTCCCCAGGGTGCACCACGTGGAGGTAAGTCTATCGCACACCCCAGATCGTGGAAATACATATTGATTAATATTTCTCCCTAATTAAATTTCTTTTAATTACTACAAACTTGAGGGTTTATGACTTTGTAAACGTGCACCTTAATTGCCATAAATTCACTTTCAACACTTAAAGAGAAGAACATTGGAGATGTCTTACTCCTATTTCTAGACTTTAAAAGAGGCCTTGGTTACCACTAAGAATCCGTTTGTTAAAACTATTGAATAAAACCCCAAACAATTGATGGTAAGAGGAGTCAAGATTGCAAAATCCACATGCGATTCAGTTCTCATTGATTTCAATGTCACAAAAGCACATCTGGTGCACAAAATGAGCACAATTTTAAAATCTTTTTTGTTTTGAATCTCAAGAAAAAAGAAAGAACTATTCAAAATCAAATACTTACGAGGCACAGAAGCGACAATAAACCAGAGAATGTCATCAGTTTATTAAATTAGGGAAAAAATTTATAAATCTCAAAACTGGAAACTTAGAATTTATTTATTTGGTTTTCATTAATATTTAATTCCAAACGTGAAAGGAGCAAATCTAATGTTGCGTGACAGATGACGTTTAGACATATTTTGGCTATTGCTCAAGCTTAAGCATCGTCCAATTTTACTCAATGAAGGGCAGAAATGGGGGAAGGGTATGTTCATTGCAGCAAAGCAGTTGGAATTGAGTCATAATTTTTATTAAATCTAATTGAAAACGCGAAGAGATCAAGGAGGGCGGAAGTGAGCATCAAAAGACGTAGTCCGTTCGTTTCTCGGCTACGGATTGTAGAGCATCCACTCACTGGGGAGGTGGCCACTGTTTCGTGTCTCAAAATTCATATTCTGGGTAATTGATGAAATTCTCGTTCATAGCGTTAGTACTTATAGACCTTTTCTTTCATTACAAAGGTCGGTGTTGCCATTTCACTCATGCTTGTTTTTCTATTGTTAAAATGCTATCCTATAAGCCAATTCACTTACAAGACCCCATTTCCCTTTAATTTCACCCTTAAGTCAGTTCTGACTCCAAATAAATATCGATTTTCTACCATTATGAAAGTAAAGTAGGACCAATTTTGCCGAGTTTTACCTCTGCCTTTTTTACTAAATATTTCTATCACTAACAGTAACCACTGGCATGAGTGTAAAATTGTCGGAATGACATTTCAGAAGTAAATAGTCTCGCAAATCACACGATTCATTGATAAAACCCCCAATATTTTAAGAGTAAACTCGAATTTTAACACCCCTTTTAATGAATGAACTTTCAGGTGTATGCGGGAAAGATTATTCCCATGGGCTGACGTAGTGACTTTTTAAAAGTGCAGGACACACTACTAGAAGAAATTCAGTAGAGATTGTGTGAATAAATAGTTGATGAGGCGCTTATCCCTACGACAGAAGCTAAATTCAATAACCACTTAACTACTCATCTTTTTAGAAGAATCTTTTAGATCTGGTTCGTCGAAGAACAGACATGTGCTCTTTGCATAGAGTAACGGACGTCCCGTGGAGTTGATTATCATAGTCGCACAGCTGACAATGAAAATAGCGACATTGGCTAATATCGGTCAAGAGAGCACTTAAAGAGTGACATCATCTGACCGCAATAGTAATTTCGAGTCCATTCTATAAAGCACAAATGTTAACTCCTATGTCATAATTGCTAGACGATTGTAAGTTGTTTTCTATCAGACGATAAAAGAATGCAGAATTTACGAGTATCGCCATTTTTATTCTTTATTCATGAACTTTGCGATAACGTATTACCCTAGGCCTTCAATTTTATTCCTTCATTCTTATTTCATGCAGATGTCAATCGTACCTGCTCAGTCAATAAAACTTTTATCATTTTGAGCATTAGTTTTGTTGGGGAGTACCTCTAAGTCTAATAACAATAAGACAAATTAAGTAGTTCTGGCAGGATTTAGGGTTATTTTGCAGCATTGTGATAATATTATTACTCAGGCCCATCAAGGAATACGTGTCCTATCCGTCATGCTGGAGAGATAGGCGAATCATACACCCTCGTTGCTAGGGTACGCGAATTTCGCCATCTTCTATAATAGGCAGACTGAGTCAGTACGGTTGGCTGCTCGCCTTCCTGAGTGTCGATGGGAATCAAATCCATGACCTCTAGAGAGATGGCGTTCATAGCGGCCAATACTGACCAGACTCTACTACCACGAGACAATAATGATATTGGATCAAGTTTCCGGAATATGTAATCAAGTCATATTTAAGACTGCACGAAAATTTCAGGACTATTTATAAAAAGCTTATTAAATTAACCTCAAAAACAGAATTTCCAAACAGGAACACCCTTGTTTTAGTTATAAACAAAGTGTGATTTATTAAAAAGGAATTGCTAACTTTTAAATATAAAGGCGACAGGGTTTTAATAGGACCGCAATAAGCGTGCAGAAATGAATGACAAAGAACACATACAACGGTATCATTGCTCAGAAGAAAAGAGGGCAAAAAAGAGAATTTCATTATTCCCTTTCAAATTAAAGAGACTCGGCAACGGATTCCATTTTCTCAACCAAAGCGGATTTCTTCGATGAGAGACTACCATCCTCCGTCTGGTATTGTGGCTTTGAAATCTTTCCTGAAATCACATTCTCCGCGAGTGAAACTCCCTTGGTCAGTAAGGCATGGTAATCTTGATCAAGCTTTTGAAGCTCTCCTACCTACAAGACGAATTCAGACAATGATATACTTAAAACCACACAAGGAGAAATGATTGTCGGATTTTTACCTTATCAGCTCCCTCGGAATAAATTTCACGTAGCTTGGTTTGCAAGGAAGAAATCTTTTGTGTGATGTGCTTATAATCAGCTTCAACACGCTTGTAGTCAGCTTTGAAGCGGTCAGCATCTTTTGAAGACTTGTAACTGCTCACAACATCCTCGTAGGTCTGGTAGATTGCGGACCGCTTGTTCTGAAGGCTCAAGATTTCATCAACTGAGACTTGAACTCTTTGCTGGAGTTCATCCATTTTGTCCTAGTTAAAAGAAATGCTCATTAAATAGGTTGTGACTCCGTTAAGACAAATTAGCCGATCCATTAACTTACTTCTGATATTGAGAAATCAAGACGAACATAAATTATAATAGCAGTGAAAAACACCATCAACGCGGCAATGAGCATAGCCGGTTCTCGAAGCATGTTTATCATATTAAAATCATAGTAGACGATAAAATCTTGAATGTGGCCTTCAACGAGGTTTTTCTTGTGAAGTACAAGAACTCTTCGACCAGAAGTGTCGAGATAGGTTTTTAGGACTTCATCGGGTAGTTTTTCAACTTCAAAAGGCACTTCTAGTCTGACATTCGAGACAGTTTCTGGAAGAATAATCCGGAGGGTCATTTCATCAACTAAAATGTCGTCATAGAGGAAGTCCAAGAAATTCATTTTCAAGGCGAATTTGTTTCCTATGGAAATATGCTAAAAAGAACCAAAATTGAGGTTACCTTTGCGGTAAAGATTTTCATAAGCAGGAAGATTGTAACCCAAGATGAAGAACGTTTTCCACCCACCAAAAAGTGGGAAACGTGGGGCAATGGCAACTTCAACTGAGCTGTACAGGTTCTTTACATTGCTAGTACTAATATTTCCTATTTCATCCCGATAGTAAATATCTTTTGCAGATGCTGGAAGAATGGATTTAATTCCAGCAATTGAAATTTTATGGCCAATACCACGTTGATAGTCAAGTCGAGAGAAAGGACCAACTAATTTTGCACCATAGTTTCTTATTGACACCTGGTTTTCAATTGCTATATTCCCCCAATGGGAGATTTCTATTGATCGTTCAAGACTGGTGATGGCCAAGAAAGGTGAAGTATTTTCATAGTTGAATTTGGCCACTCGCTAAAAGAGGAAGGTAAGCAAATAAATATAGTTCTACCTTCTCAAATGGTGCAACATTCTCAAACGGACCATATATGATCTTATTGGTCGACTTCTTCACAGGTGTAATATCTTCCGAGAAGAAGAGAATTTGTCCACTGCCAAGAGTGACAGTAGTTGAAACTTTCTTAGTTGGATAAGCCGAGAAATGTGCAACATTAACCAAGAGTTCAACGAACTGGCTGTCGGCCTGGCTGATTTCAGCGGGTCGGGGTTCAAGCAAACCAGTGAAGTATGAAGAAACAGTAAACTTGAAACGTTTTCCAGCATCGGCTTTGGGAATTTCGATGTCAAAAGTGGGCACACTAAGTAAATGAGTTAAAGAAAAAAATTCATACTTTGAAACTTTGCCAACGGATTTAACTGTCAGCGGAGTTTTGGAATCAACCTATAGATAATACTTAAAAACATCTAAATTTAGCTTGCCTTTGCTTCAATAAAAGCTAAATGACTGTAAACTTCGTTGTCAATTGGATATTTGTAAGCAGTTAGCATACCACTTGGAAGATCAAGGGTGATTTCTGCATCGACTCGAACGATATGTGATTCGGCATGGACAGTTTGAGATACTTCAATATTCGTAAAGTCTCCTCGTGCAAAAGAAATTGCTAATATTAAAAAAAGGCTGGATACAATACGCATGATGGCGTGTGATCTCACAAACAACTCCATTCAAAGAACCAATGGAACCAACGTGTCAAAAGCAGTTAAGTAAACTACAAATAGCGGTAGGCAGAAAAGGTCCTTGAAATGCGCTTATGATGTGTACCAGTTAAAACGCGATGACAATCTTATTTATAGCACAATCTTAGATTGCACACATAATTAAGCCATATAAATCCCTATATATAATAAATCAATAATTTAAGGGCGCTACTTTAATAAAGTTAGATCTTGTCTAGCAAATTATAATAATTTTATGTAAATCTTAATATCTGTTTCAAATTACTTCGAAATTCTCTCAGAGATGAGGCTTGACTTAAAGAAGACGAATAAATGAGAAAGTTTTTACGCATCTTTGTCGTGTAATCAAGGTGCTATTTATCAAACATCGTTTGAAATACCTGACATAAAACGAATTTTAGAACTTTTCCCCTCAAACTGTATAATTGTAACAATTTTGTACCACGCTGCTACTTAATGGAAATCTTGCGAAGAAACTTTAGAATTTAGTCGAATTAATCCTATCCAGTATGTACATAAAGTCATAAAAGTATTAATAAAAATATTTTTTATCCCATTTGCTGGGTGGCATTTTTACATGGATTGCAAACAGAGCGGGGTAATATACGATTTATTTGGTTTGAAAAGCATTATTGACAATGAATAGACAGTTTTCTTTTCATCACTTTTTTTATTTTAAAATAATGGGTTTCTTTCACGCATACCGCTTTAATCTGGCCAAGAATAATGTTCCAACAATACTATTTCAACAATTTATTTCAAATTTTCGGAAAACTGAACGGAGTTTAATTATTTTAACATGGTGAACATATATAATTTCATGATGGAACCTTAAAACGAAGCCGATTGAATATAGAAAAATTCTTTTCGTTAAATTTTGTAATTTCATAAGCAATAAGACCATTTATATGAATTTCGATCGAATCGATGAAGAATAAAAGATTATTTTCACTGCATTACAATTTCTTATTTTTTAAACGTGAATTCGCATTTTTCGGTTTATGTTCAATATGCATTGGATTTCAGTCAAAGTATTGAAGCTTTGAAAAGTGTAATTGTCGTTGTTAGCGGCTGAAATATGAGCTCAATGGCTTTCAATGTGAAAATTATATGCCAGATTTTAGTTAAGGATTAAATCTATTCAATATTTTGAACGCCCTATCACGCTTGTCAAAGTTGTGTTCCCAAAATTCTTAGTTTGTTGAACTCTTTATTCCTATCAGCATGTGCCGGGAATATGACATGTGACGACTGGATGGCTATTTATGCCATGTTTTGTCATAAAAAAAGGAATAAGATAAGGATACTTATGATTTTTTTAATAATGGGTTTATTGGATCAGTAAAATTACTTAGTTTAATTGTGTTTTCTCTTAAGATTCTCCTTAGAGTATGACTAAACTTTACTCTAATGATATCTAGTGAAAGGATATATCTTGGCAGAAGGATTATACCTCATAGGAGTTCAACAGAATATTGGAAAAGAACTTTGCTAAAGCGGATAACTAGGTAGCCAAAAAAGTGGAATATTTGGAATGATATTATTCCCATTTTAAACAGTTGAAAATTTCTGTGCATATCACACATTTAATTTTCGGAGAAAGCGGATGAGGATGTTATTCATCTTCGACTCCAAATATTTGACTGTGAGTTCAATGCTTTTAACGAATTTTATACCTTTTAAAATGACTCCAATGAAGACAGTGTGGTAAAAACTAAATCAATTGAACTCATCATCAGGAAAAAATGTCTACCACATTTACATAAGGCGAAGGAGAAGGGGTGTTTTGGAAATTTCTCACTGAAGTGTCGAGAATGAGTTTTGAAAAATGTAGAAATATAAGCATATCCCCAATGCCATTGTGTAATTTTTATAAATAACTTATCAAGGCTCTCTATGGTAGATGACATAATTTACAGTTTTCTTAAACATTTAATAGATTTGTATCAAGCTTCGGAGCCAAGTACATTTTATTTCTTATTTTTATAAAAAAACCTATTTAAACCATATAAACTTGTTTGGTGTTTTTATCTCAATTAATAGAGGAACACATTTTTGACCCTCATCAATATAATTATCAATTGCTTTTCTCTCAAGCTCGCACAGGGATATGCAAGATCAACTGACGCTTCAGCTATTGGTAAGAATGGAATTAACTCAATTATCACCCACTCAAGTCCATAAAAATTAACTTACTTTGTTTAATAACGAACCATCATTTGATTCTTAAGCCTTCTCTTTTCCTTATTTTTAAGTTAGAGTGGGTATAATAACATTAAAAATTTACTGGCACATTGGAGGAGACTTTCAGGCTTTTATTTATGTCATAACAACGAAGCCATTGATTCACATTACTTCAATTCATGCTCGCGAGGTTTACACAAGTTCTTTTGAAGAGCCATTTACATGATGATATATTTGCTTTAACAAGTTTCAAAAGACCATATCTTGTGCATCGTTTTTGAAAATTGCGATCAATTGCCACCTCAACAGTCAACTCGATTTCTTTACAGGTCCTTTCGCAAAGAGTGATTTGTCATTATTACTCTACCTGGTCCATTTTAGCGGTGTTTGCAATAACTAATGGGCGCTGTTTATGGTATTTCTATAGATGAAATATATTCACCGGTAGCTCAGTTTTAATACTCTTTTTCATAAAACTAGAGTTCGTGGGTTTATTGCCTCAATCAGTGAGTGCGATAGTCGATCGTAGTGGTTATGTCTGAAAGACAAAAGGTGACGAATAGTTGACCGTTTGGAATTACCCATTCCCAGGGGTTCAACGTCTCAAAAGGAAACTCAAGTTGATAAGGTATTCCTTTTCGTCAGATGCATGAGCAAATGTGCCGATAACAGTAACGATCAAGATAGAACATTTCCTCTGACTGGGAGAGGTGGGGCAAATGCAGGCCGAACCTACTTTCCCCTCATTAACAACTCTACTTCAAGTTCCCATTCAGCACCTATAACAGTTTTTGTCAATGCATTATACGCTAAGTTTGCTTCATAACACTCATTTATTGCAAATCTGGTCATTCTTAAAAATGACACAGTTTTGATAAAGTGGGTCAATGAAGTCTAGTTCGTAAAAAGGATCTTGAATTGGCAAATCTGAATTGAAAGCTTGAAGTAAAAGAAATTAGGTGGATAGGTAGGTTTAATTCTTTACTTCCAGCAAGCTGTCTCTCTCCGTGTCATCTGTCGGGTTGCTGTGGCATATTCCATAGGTAAGGTAGAGCAAAGAACCTGGAGGAGAGGCAAAAAAAGGTATTGTTAACAAGGAATACTCGATGATCATAGTCTATTCAGCCTAAGTACATGAAGATCTGAATATTATTTTAGTCTATTATTACTGAAGTCGTTTAAAGTATTTCTATCTTTTAAAAAAACTCGCTAATTCATCATCCCACTTTAGGCCATTATAACGGCAAAAGGAATTGAACTACCAAGTTTTCTTACATCCAATTACTAACCTAAATATCTACAGCAATTACAAGATTCTTCATAGCAGTGGAGGATTAGAAAAAGTGAAAGGTGAAAGTGTCTCTACACTCAATTAAGGCTTGACTCTACTAATTGGAATGCTCGGAGTTTAATGTACTAACCTCAAAGCCTGTATACCAAAGGGTTTATTCCAGGACCGTCTGCTTTTTAGTCCCAAACCACCCAAATTTAGTAGACTGAAGAGCGACTAAATGCATATCGTACCAAAAATCACACTATTATTTCTCACCAGAAGATCTAAGTTAGGATCGAATGTGCTTACGACCGTGAATCGACTCACTTTATCCACACTTGTTCGTCGCAAGGAGGGTGATGACAGAAAATAATAATAAAATCACTGTTCAAAGAAAGACATTATGATAGTATATTAGGGGACAAATGACCGCTAATGCCCCTCTTAGAAAACCCAAAACACATGTACAACGGCAACTATTAACAGGAAAGATAAAATATTAACGAAACCCTGGTTACAAAAAGCCAGTGCCTTTAACTCTGAACACTCCTAAAATTTGGATAAGGCAACTTCATTCGGATGGTGAATCCTACTGAGAGTCTTATTTCTAGTTTTACAATACATTAGCCACAAATGAAGGTGAGATGTGAAGCACTGGCGGATCGATAATATCAAAGTTGATCCGCCAACTTGTAGATCCTATGTGCAGTGGTTTGGCGCCACTAAATACATATGAAAAGAGGACGATTATGTAATCAAATGAAAAGACATCACTATTTTTTCCATACGAAGTCCACGTTCAAAAGAACTTCAACTTGAAGGGATGTCTACAAGATGGTCTTGACGCAAAATGGAATCGAGGGCCTCTGAATCCCAACTTTTATTTCTACCGCCCCAAATACACCCCCGTAAAAATTATTTGTTCTCCCTCTCTGTGGCTGCCTATGCAGTTGACAAAAAACTATTAAACTTTTTAATTCCATCAGCTGAAATAAGGGGATGATAAATAAAGTTAGGGTTCAATCAATAATGGAATTCGGTTACCAAACTAGTATTGAATATCATCGACCTAATGTAAGAATAAGCAATGAGTTCAATGGGGTAGAGGGTGAAGAGGGTTTGCCCACTTTCTGAGAGGGAAGACCAATTATTGTCTCCTATGCCGACGCTACATCTTTTCAAGCCCATTACTTCTTCTTTTGACAAGGGACCAAAGTTGCGTAAAAAGCATGTCATTTAACTTTTCTTAACTTGTCCTATCCTTGAGATCCTTATTTGCATGTTTGACGATTACTATTTGAATATAGTTAACATATTAGTTTGGATTAAATCTGAAGGAACTTGTCCTAATTTATTAAAATCTCAATAGGCCTTCAAAGCCCTAATTGAAATTTCAATGACCTCATACAACAGTGTACTTCTGTTAACTCATTTTGACCATAGTGTACTCCTTTTCTACCAGTTGAATTTCAAAGTGATCCGATTGTGGAACTATGGTCTCACTACTAAAATACTTATCTTTAATTTGCTCTAATGGGCTAATGATAAATATCATAAAGCCCGCCATTTGAAATAAATAAATTTGCTCTAATGGAGAGAAAGCGATGCCAAATTTTGCCACAAGTAGCAACTTTCAAAGAAAAAAATGGAATTGGAAAGAATTTTAAATCAGGTGGATTTGAACACCCCTTAAAGAACGCAAAATAGTTAATTTATTATATTTCAAAAACCAAAGATAGATCTTTTCACTCAAATTTCATCTTGTCTTAAACATTGAAATGAAATCTCAAAAGTAATTATGATTAATCGGGGGAGGGCTTTTTATCTTTGTCATTTATTAATTCTTTCAGACTTGTTTGTTTAAGTTGACGTGGATTTAACCGAGAACTTTTGTACCTTTGTGCAATTTTTGAAATGAAATAGTCTTGAGTGCAATAGGGAGAATTGTGACTCACCAATACCAACCCAAATGATGAAACGAATCCATGTCATCCATGAGAGCTGTGAGATCAGAATGGTATTGAAAATAACTGTCATGCAAGGCAAAAATGGCACCATTGGTAGCTGAAATAATACACAAAATACCCACAATATTAAACACTGATAATTGTTTTTAAGCCGTCAATTTTTTTCTCAGCGTATCACTTCATCGTTCCATTTATGTTAATAAATTCTAGCACCGATTTATTGAACTGGCGCACTTCGTTCTTGTTACCCCTATCAATGCAATCGAGGAAATTACAATTAGTCAAGTCCTACATTTTTAACCTACTGACGCATCGTTTTGTCCACGTTCTCATAAGGCCTAGAATTCATTTTTTCACATTCCAATACCCATAATGTAATGAATGAGATTGTCTTCGATATTCAGAGCACATTAATCGGTTGACTTAATACCACGGCTGATTAAGCCATCTCCACTTAAATCTATCTTTTCTACAATAAAACGAAGGCAGTTGAAGCAAAAAATGACCTTTAATCTGGTAGTGTTCGCTGGAGTTTATCTGAGGTGGAGGATTCTTTCTTCTCTTGCTCCAGAGGTCCAGATATGTAACCCTCAGTTCTTTTTCATTCAAAATAAACGTCACAAAGGTCTCTCGTCAACTTTGTGGCATTAAAATTCGTAAAATGGAAATAAGTTTGAGTTCTTCATCTTTCTATAGAATTCTATAACAGAAAATTGAGCTTCCACTTCCGTAACTACCTTACGTGTTATTTCGTCATGTTCTTACCGAGTAAATGAAAATTTAAAATGAGTTCAATTTTTGCTCTTAAATTCAATACGTAACATTTTATTTCAAACACATAGCATTAAAGACAAATATTCAACGTTATTGTTATGGAATGATAATGTTTTAGCGCAGTGAAAAAGCACAACTCGTGGGGTTTAATGACGCTTCAATCAATAAGTATTTTTCTTATTTGGGTTTTCGTAATTTAAGTGCTATTATAACAGTTACAACATAGGCTACTGATTTCATACAATTTGACAAGCTTTCAATTTGAGTAAAAAGACACGGTAGTTGAATGCAGTAGAGTGTAGCTTTTAAAATCTGTGCAATCAGACAGACAAACTAAAACTCGTGGCTTAATATTGTAACGGCAATAATAGCTATAGCATTTGATCAAATTATAATCAAGTTAGGAATTCACTTGGCAACTTGGATTATTATTTATGATTCGAACCGCTTAATATCAGGACTGGACAGGATAAATAAAGTTAGCTACTTAAAAAAGGATATAGCTTGATGAAATTTAGTTGTTTTATCTTTATTTGATGTAAATTGGCTAGGCGCACATCTCACTTCTTCAGGGTTGAACATGAGACAAATGAATCCTTGTTCAGAAATTTGAAGCCTTGAACATTAGGATACGAAGTTGATAGAAGCACATTAGGCAATGTATTGAGAGGCTGGTTTATTCAGAGCTCATCTAAATGCGGTAAAAAATGGCAAATATTTGCCATTATCCTCTTGTATTTCTTAACTTTCGATTTTGGAATTCCCGAAATTTTCATCAAAGAAACTTGTCATTACCTCTACATCTGGTAAATCACCTAGTATACGAGGCCTATTTTAAGAAAGGCTTTTCTCGGTTTTAAGGGCAACATTTCAAAGCTCGAATTCTGTCAACCCCTGAATGAATAGGTTTAAGCAGTGAGACTTGTAATTCCATCCACTTTCTCCTAAATGGTTTTAGAAACTGTTTCGATTTTGTCCATTAATTGATTGGCCTTTGTTGTGTTGGGGGTGCCGGATAGTATCTTTCGAGATAGCAACCAATGCATATGCAATAGTTCACCGAGGTAAAATGTTGGTGAAGGAGAGGGTTAAGTGGCTGGTTTAGGCATGACAACTAATTCATAATCAATTTGCTTTCCTTGGGTTGTGGCATGGAGGGGGAGGGGGTGAATCGTACTGTCGCCATTCATTTAATCAATTATTAGCTAACCATTTGAAGGAAGCGTAATGTATGTGTGTGAACACATGTACTAAATCGATTGAAAACCTAATACAATTGGGTAAATTGTGATTCAAGTACCCTGTAAGAGAAGACGATTAGGTCAAATTTATTTCAAACAGACTATGTATCAGCCTATTTTCTTCAATATTGAACGGTAATCTATTTTGATTATTGCTTCTACCTTCATGTAAAGATGCTGCATAGTGTATTAACAATATAATAAAGATTTTTCAAATCACTTCAATGGAAGAGGATGAATTGTTTAATTTTTCTCCTACTCCTATTCGGTCATATTTTCTGCATTGCCCTACCTTATCCATAGTAGAGTTTACAAAACTTCGAGGAATAAAAGTACAAAAGGTCAATGACACCCAAACTACATACTATTTTCAGTCGTATTTTAAACTGACATGTCATTTATCCGCTGTAAAGCCTCATCGGTAATCACAGTTAAATTTAAATTCATGATGATACTTACCCTGAATAAGTTGGGCCTGGGTCCTCTAAACTGAACATGCATAGAAAAGACGCATAAGCAGCAAGCAATGCCAATAAAAAAGATAATAGCACCAGCTATCCTCCAATAGGCCCATCCATTTATTTCCATTGGAAGTGTGATGAGAACAGTAAAGTGAAGGAGGAAGACAAAGAGCACCAAGCAGCAGATGGTGATTTTCACAACTTCGCCTGGAGCTCGATTCTGCGTCATACTTTTGACCATTGATAGGGGCAAAATGTTGGCCCACTTACTTTTCAGATAACCAGGTTTACCGATGTTGTCGGCTCCAGGAAAGTCGTACTTTGAGTAGGGAGGTGGAGCAGTCGAAGGTTGAGGTTCCTTCAAGGGAGAAAGTCTTCTTGAAACTCAGTTAAGCATTTGAAAAGCAGGCAATTTACATATTGACCCATTGAAATAATGCAATGACAAGCAATGAATTTGAGTAAGTGGTTACCATTGCACGTAGCAGAAAATCATCCTCAGTCCTAACATAGGTCTATAATTGAAAAAAATTAATCATGATACCGTTTTGTTTAAATGACTTCAGATAGCTAAAGTTCAAACTACACGAAATAGACAATAAGGGCAACGCATATTATCTACTCTGAAATAAGTACTGAATGAACTTAAAAACGCGTCAATACTGAACACGAACATCCCAGTTTGTCTGAAACAGACAAAATTAAGGCATTAATGATGAGCGCAGAGTTATCTTATCCCTTAGTGATGAGTTTCAAATAATTCGAGCTGAGATTTGGGTTAGTAACAGCTCAATGTATAGTGAAACAGGTGGAGGAGTTGGATTTCACAGGCGTTAATAGTTTGTGATGCCAGTCGCCTCAACCAGGATTCGACTAAATTATTACCTTCAAGTAAAGAAACCTCTACCTTTCCTATCGGTGCCAAGACCACTTATTATCAGCATACTTTGACCAAATCTGATACTTCCTTAATCACTCTTTACCACGATTGGCTTTGAAAGAATAATGCACTAACAATTTAGTGCAATCATGCACATACTTATAGGTAGTCACCATACTGTTGTAATCAAATGTGATTTTGGCAAAAGGAAAAGCTGATAAAATCAAATTTTGGCGAAACCTTAGTTGATTTAATGAAATTTTGTTGAAACTAACTTGTTAACGTGAAAAATTGTAAATAAGATCCGCGCGACATAACATGCAAACGGGACGTACTTTGATACCGTTATTCGTTCTTTTAGAAAGTGTTTCGAAAAATCGATAAATTCAAAGGAAAACACGAAAACTACGGATAAGTTTTTATTCGCGCTAATGGACATCGAGAATATTGTCCAGGGTAATATATAGCAATAATTTCTACTTAAATCAACCACTAATTGTAACTGTAAAAAGTAAAAAGCCATGGAAATGGATCGAAAGTCACTCCAAATACTTGATTTAAAGGTAAATGCGTGTAAATATCTGCATTACTGAACCTCGGTCACAAAATTTCTAGAAAAATTAAATTTGTGAGGTTAAAATTGTTGATCTCCTACGTGGGAAACATTTGTTCACAGTATGGAAGGGGAAAAATGCAGTTGTAGTGGTGTCGATTTCACGCCATAAACCTTGAAGGTCAAGGCATGTTGAAGTCAGTTGTCATTCATTCACGCACACACGTATATTTCCGAATTAAATTAAGGTAATTAAAAGAGCATGAAAGTTTAGGTTTTCATAAGAGTATTTATGGTCAAAGATTTAGAAAGGGGCAAAATGATGTACTATCGCTCAAATCTTGACGTGTGAAGACTATGAAGAAATGAAACACTGAATCGAGTTTGATCCATTGATCCAGAATAATTAAAATTTCCACGATTACAAAATATAAGTGAAAATCGATTTAAATTATAAGAAATAAGTAAGATAGGAATCAAAATTCCGATTCCTAGGTAGATCATTGCAGTTTAAGATAATTGATTAGCATCATTTAGCCCAATAATATGGAAATCTCCATAGAATTTTAGTTTAAGCAGAAATAGAATTTTATCTTTGTGTAAATAAATTATAAAACTTGTTTCGAGATTTAACATCATCCAAGTTGCTGCATAATTCCATCAAAACTGTCGCATTGCAGATCAATTGAAAGATAAACTCGCAACATCCGCGTACCTAGACATTTCTAAAGTCGCGTTAATGAGCAGTGGAAATATTGTTAAAACCTGCATTTCGCAGTAAGATTTACATTAACATTCTGAATGAACGTGGACTGCGTTCACATATATAAAAAGCGGAAGCACATGTGACCCGTCAGGACACGATAGTGAGTAATATGGCTAATACCCTGGTTAGAAAGATAATTCACTAGGTGAAACTACTTCAGCATGTGAGAAGCTCTAATTGATTAAATATAACCGCAAATGAACATATTTTAAAAATTATTTATTTTTATTTATGGAATAGTGTCAGGATATGTTTTTTATATGAAAACAATGAAAACTAATTTCATTAAATTAGAATTCTGTAAATGTGATTAAGGGTATATTGATGTGAATCTTATTACTTTTAAATGAATAAAATAAGGAATCAATACTGTGAATTGAAAAATTACCAGCTCGTCTACCGTTAAATTAACTACTTTTTATTTAAAAGATACAAAACAATAGCATTTTAAGGCTTTCTGTTTTTAGTATCCTTATTTTTTCGTAATTACGGTAGATAATCTTGAACAAATTTAATTTCCGACGGTGTTAGGATTGTTTCCTTGTCAAGTATGCTTGAATAGGAATAATATAATTGGAAACTTAGATTCAACTGGATTAAACCTATTTTCCCATTAAATTTTGTACTATAATAAGAAGAAATTTAGCGGACGTCATATTTTTCTTCAGAATAGATGAAAAATGAGTTGCTTCTTATTAAGGAAAAACGAATGGTGCAATTATCGAATAGTATTGCTAATAAAAGAATATATAAAATCAGATCCTATTTTTATTTTCAATTTGCGCATGCAACCTTTTTTGCAGCTTGCTGATAGCGTCAGTATTCAATTAAAAAATCTGTGACCTTGCATTATTCATGACGCCATTGACTCGCTCTGCTCTACCACCGCTCTCATTTTCATTCTACAGGCTTCAGAACTACATACACAGTCGTCGAATTGACAGATTTGTTGAAGTCTATACATTTGGTGTTGCTATTTATTAGAAGCTATTGTTAACCTATCTAAATTGATCAGGACTTTTAACAGCACCAGCTTTTAATTTGAATTAAATTATTGTTGATACTATTCGAATAAATTTATAACTACTATTACAGTGGTTTTATTTGTGGGTGGATTCCAAGTACAAGACAACCATGCACACTTTAATTAACATGATATTTTAACAATAATAAGAATATTTTTCCTTTTAATCCAAAGGATTTGAAGTGGGAGTACCATGATTACGTCTCCCATAATGCTGAGAAACACGGTACTTTAGGATCAACGTTCGTTGCAGATGATTTAATGCTTGATCATTTTTATAATTATTAAAAACAAAAACAATCAAACTTAGCTTTTCCTACTTCAGGCATTAAGTTCTGCTAACAACTATTTTGTTCTTTAAACAAATATTTAGTAAATGTTCAATCTTCAGAATAAACTGATCACCTCACGGTAACTGATCAAATTTTAATAAGACTCACAAAAATAAATGATGAATTACAATTCGCAATATTAAAATTATCAAAGGTTTTCAGTCCAGAACTAGGAAAATAGTGGGAAAAATTTCTGATTATTTTAGTACGTGGAAAATATAAATGAATTCAGCGCGTCATAGAGAGTAATTGAAGCCCTAAAGAAATAAATGATAATCAATCTTTCGTTTTATTTGTAAAAAACTCCAAAATTTCAAAAAATGCTATTTACTCTATTTTAAAGATCGTGGAATGCTCACTTTTTTGTAATGATGCATCTAATCAAGAATAAAGAGATCTATGACGTATTAATTTGCTAAACTATTGCATTTTGTAATTGAACAAAGTGGGTGTAAATTAAGACTAAAAGAAAAACAAAAAAATGAAATTTGAAATTCGCACAAAGTTGAGGAGAACTCAAAATAGGCTTGTCAGTAAACATGGGAGAATAGAGGTAATGCACTTGGTTAAATCGGCAAAAATTGTGGGGTAAACGCCTAGATCAAAACACGCCTTCACATTATGAGCAAAATTTGGAAAATTATTAAGAAAAACTGGCCTGTGTATATATGTCTAAGAAACTGCAAATTCAAGTAGAATAAAATATTTTCTTTGAGCGGACTTAAACACTAATCTAATTTGGGTGTGCGATAGACTTACCTCCACGTGGTGCACCCTGGGCAACGTATACTCATACGGCAAAAAAGTCTATTAATCGGCAATTGACTTCTGACTTCAAACTACCATCACCCCACTGTATGTCATACTTCACTACTTTCACAGTACTCATCTCACCCTTTTTCTACCTTTGTGTCTGTCTGTCTCTTTTACGTCTGTGAATCATTATTCTGTCCCCCTCTCGACTTTTTGCCACTTTGATGTTCCTCTTTCTTTCTGTGAAGCCCGAAGTCAACTAAAGGGCTAATGATACCTATCATTACGCCTGCCATTTGAAATATATATACAATAATCTAATTTTATTCAAGTAATAATGCTTAATAAGTTCAGTCGAATTCTTTGGAACCCACGAACTATAATTGATGCTGAAAGAAATTTTTCAAAATAAGTTTCCTATTTGAAAAATCTTTGCAAAAAAACGTTGTCTTGTTGTTTTCGATTTAAAATTGACTGAAAAATTTTAAGGTTTGTCATCACACAACTTGGTTGGTACGTGTCTGGTTAGTGTGTCTGCCGTAGTAGTTACGAGAGGTCCATTCCAGAATCCTTTAACGTACCAGCTCAAAGAATATCC